TGTGTTAGCAGTGCGTTGCTTTAGTGCCATTTCATCAGTGATTGTTGCGCAGCTTACAAGAAGTTGCGCTAATGCTAATGTTAGCATATGTATCAGATCGCAAATAAAACTAGGTGGCTCTGTGTTATGAGAGCGTAGGGGAAATGAGAAGCCATTGAGCGAGTTGGGGGGCGGTGCTAAACATTCAAACATTGCAGAAACGGGTATAGCGCCTTTAATAACTCCGTAACAGGCGACAGCGTGTCCTACAGTAGCAAAAAGCTGTGAACGCGCATCAGAGTCACCGGCCCTATTTTTTCCTGTTGAATGCTAATGCTATGGTCAAGACTGAGCACACGGAACATTTTTAGAAATGGAAAGATTGGAGGTTCAAAAGAAAATAAAAAGTCGAGAGCTGAGCTTGCATCTAGAAGGTGAGCCTGTACACGTAGGGAAATCAGATGTTTGGCAACATTTCCACTTCGTGGTTGACAAAGACAAAGTTAGCGTGGGCTTTGTGCAATGTCGCCATTGCCACGCTTTGTTGGCATTTGAAACCAAGAAGACGGGGACATCATCGCTTATTCGCCACACCAAAGCTTGCCAGCAGAAACGTCAAGACGAGGCCACAAAAAGCCAGCAGCAGACCCCTATGACATCTTTCATTACCGTGCCAAAGGTACCGCAGCGACTAAAACAGGCAATCACGGACAAATGTGTGGACTTCTGCACCAAAGATCTAAGGCCATTTTATACCGTCAGTGGGGAGGGATTCCAGGCACTTGCTCAGGAACTTATAAATATTGGCGCTAGTTACGGACGAATAGCAGCCTCCTCAGTGTTGCCACACCACGGTACGATATCCAAAGCATGTTTGGAAAAAGCGGAGATGAAAAGAGAACAACTTGTAAGTGAGCTGAAACAAACACTGGCGAGCGGGGACATTGGGATGAGCACAGACATGTGGACGGACGATTATAGGAAGATGAGCTACATTGCCATAACATGCCATTTCATAAATAGTGACTTTCTGTTGGTAGGGAAAACTCTAACCACAGCTGTATTTCCAGCTGAGGATGCAAAAACAGGGAAGAATATCAGAAGGGAGCTACTGCGCTTGCTCATAAACAAATTTGGCCTGGAACTCAGCTCCCTGAAAAATATAGTTTGGGTGACAGATCAGGGAAGCAACATCATTAAAGCATTGGAGCCATATAGAAGGCTTTCCTGTCTGGATCACCTCTTGAACACGGTCATGCGCCACGGACTGGATGCGAACAACCTCACGCAAAACGCTCCAGACATCAGCGAGACAATAACAGCGGCCAAAAGTCTAGTCAGACACGTGAAACAATCTGGATTGGCTGCACAGCTCTCAAAGACTGTTCTGCAAATGGCTGAGACCAGATTCAGCACGGTATATCTTACCCTCAAGTCAGTGCTGGATGTGTTCCCGGAGTTGAGCGAAAAACTCCATGCACGCGGAGAACAAGAGCGCATAGACAATATTGTCCCAGACACGTTGAATTTTTTAATATGTTTTTTGGAACCATTTTATTGCGCACAGAGGGAACTTGAAGGGGACAAATATCCCACTTTAAACCTTGTTTGCCTGTGTGTTGAGAAGCTGAAGCGTCACTGCCTGATGTCTCCCACAGACTCCGCACAGCAGGCATTTGTGCGCAAGAAGCATGCAGAAATGTTGGAACGAAAAGTCGAACTGCACATTTTTCATAAAGTGGCACTTTTCCTTTGGCCTAAATTTAATAAACTTAAAATTTCACTGTGACGTCTTCACTGTTCATGCCCATGTCCGCACATTACTCCAATCATTGGGAGGAGTCGGGGAATCCAGCGCTGCTGCTGACAGTGAAGCAAGTTCCAGCTCCTCACAACAAGCACCTGCACCAAAAAGAAGCCGATTGTCCGACTTTGCAGAGTGGGAAAATGACGATGACAGTGTGACATCCGATCAGGATGAGGTGTCCCTCTACATCACTCAAAAGCATGCAATGGCAGATGACAGAGACTTACTGGGCTGGTGGAAGATCAACTCCAATGTGTACCCTAAACTATCCAAACTGGCAAAATCGGTGCTCTGCATCCCTGCGAGCAGCAGCAGCAGTGAGCGGGTTTTCAGCGCAGCGGGCCGCACCATCAGTGAACGCAGGACAGCTCTTAAACCCTCTACGGTGGATGCTATACTTTTTCTTCATGACGCGATGTAGAAAGGACCACGTAAGTACGCCGTAAGATGTACAATTATTTTAGTTTATGTGTGGAGGACTGACCAAATATTTATATATTTATACGCAGATAACTGTGCTGCTGAGGCCCGTTGCTGTTTTCTTGAAGTCGCAATGTCTGTTTCCTCCCTAATATTCTATTGTTTTTTTCATCCATGCCAATCTATTTGATTATTTTATATATATATATATATGATATATATTTATTAGTTTTATGTTAGTAATACGGACAAGTTTTCCTCTTTTCCAATACACGCCTTGTCACTATATTGAAGTTGGAACATATTTTGTTGTTGAAAATATTACACCATATTTAATAGGCTAGGTAGCATTTTAGTTTTGTGTGTTTGTTGAAATATGTTTATATGCTACTTTGTTTTAAGTTCAATATTGGTTTGTTCCTTCTATATTTTAATAAAATACTCGTAATGTAATCATCTCCTTGCTGTTTTTTTTCTAAATATTTGCATTTAATACCCTTTACAGTTTTATATATATTTATTCGTATATATGTCGGGCTTCTGTCGGGCTCGGGCCTATTATACAGCGTTCATTGGTCGGGCTTATCCGGGCTCGGGCTTAGTATTAGCGGACTCGGGCCGGGTCGGGCTTGATTTTTCAGGCCCGAACGAAACTCTACTCTGGGCTGGGGACATACCATATCAAACACACCACATCAAGCTTCCGGTTTTAACTGTCAGGAACATTGTGAGGAAATGAAAGAAGTTCTAGTTAAGGCCGCAAGTGGCAGACCAAGACATATCTCAGATAACCAGAGGCGCAGGACGATGAAAACAGTCATAGTCAACCCACAGACTATCTCCAAAGACCTACACCATCAGCACAAGTTGCTAAAGATGGTCTCACTGTGCATTGTTCAACTATTCAGCGCACTTTACACAAAGAGATGCTGAATGGGAGAGTAATGCGGAAAAAGCTTTTTTTCTGCACACATCACAAAATGAGTACGTTTGGACAAGCTTGGAACCCATCAAACCTGACTGAACTAGAGATGATTTGCAAAGAATGGTAAAAAATACCATCCACCAATATCCAGACTCTAATTGTAAGTTATAAAAAGCATTTAGAGGCTTATTTCTGCAAAAGGTTAATGTACAAAATATACATTTTAAGGTGCCTAAAATGAGGCGACAGTGGCTCAGTTGGTAGAGCATTGGCCTTAGAGCCCGAAGGTTGTGGGTTCGAACCCACCACGAGACATACTTCACGACTCCCACTGTCCTTGGGCAAGACACTTAACCCCACATTGCCTAAAGCCCCCGCTGAAAGATCTCAACTCCTGTGGACTCACCACCTGCAGGAGGATCAATGAGGGGCTGTGCTATGTGTACTGGGTGCAGCTCTAACCCCCTTTCCCCCTGGGATGGGTTTCTTCTCTCAAGCCAAATGTGCTGTAGTACAACGCTCGGTCCAGCTGGTGGCACTAATACTAACTTCAGCAACTACCTCGTTCCGTTTCTCTTCCTGTTTACATTCTGCTACTGTGCACTAACAGTTCGAGCACGGATCGCGTTGTTTGGGGAAAGACATCTTACACTTGATCACGTTGCTCTGATGCAAAGTGCAGCAGTTCTGTCTGTGTGCGTCTGTGCGCACGCGACGGACACAGGAGTGCGCGCCTCTTTAGTAATGAGCGTAAGAGCGCTGAGAAATGAATGAATGAGAATGAAAGAATGAAAAGTGTGGCGTACGAGCTGAGCGACCGAAGCCAGGCAGGATACAAGTGAATGTTGGTGTGTTCTTGCGATTAAATAAAGTCTGATTCTTGAACGTCTGAAGTGTTATTGCAATAGCTAAACTAAACTAAACTAAACTAGCACCACACTGTGACAGCGAGGGTCAGAACAGAAGAGAGTAATCCCGTAGGACACACTCCCCTGCGCCCCTCGACCATGGTCCAGGGGCTTATATGAAAGGTTTAACACTAGCGGAGAATACAAAAGTGCAGGGAGAGACGTGTGTGAAAATGCGCGTCACACTGGGTCACAAAGAAAGACGTAATGTGATGCACAAGTCCCCACCACCCGCCACAGTGACCCCCCTCATCTGGGATTTAGAACCGTGCTCAGGCCCACTTGCAGCAACCATGCCCAAGCCCAGTTGCCGCAGTCAAATAAGCACCTAAAGCCTGGATCTAATCGCGAAGTGGGCCCAGGCCCACTTTAACCAGGCTTTAGGCTGTGCATGTGACCGCCCCCTAAACTTGTTCAGTATGGTACCCTATCCAGACGCCCACCTGATGCTATGGTACGATATCAATAATGTGCTTTGAGTTTGTTCTGGGTAATTCAATACAGAAATCTGCAGGCCTCCAAACCTTCATTACCTCCAGACTCAACTATAGCAATAGCCTCCTCTATGGACTCTCTCCCACTTATTTAAAATAAAAAAAACTTCAATACATCCGGAATTCTGCTGCCCACCTGCTCACCCACACAAGCTCCAAAGACCACATCTCCCCGATCCTCAAATAACTCCACTGGCTCCAAGTTTCATACCGGAAATATAGGGTCCTCCTCATGACCCACAAGGCTCTTCATAACATGGACCCCTCAAGTCTCTCAAACCTCCTCCATCAGCAATGTCTCTCTGGCTGCCTCAGATCCGCCGACTCCAACCGCCTCACTCCCATCAGAATAAAGTGCCTTGTAAACCCTGCAGGACTGAGCCTTCTGAACCCTGGGGGATCGAGCCTTTGCTGCCGTTGCCCCTAAACTATAACAATGTATTATTTTTATTAATATGAATACATACGTGAGCCCTGCGGCTGCCCGTTGATTGCAGTTTGCTGGTGGCCCAGTGTGGCACTGCTGCTTTCACTGGGAGGTCGCCTCACAGGGCTGTACTGGTGCAGGGGGGCAGAAGTCTGAACAGGCAGCAGCCCGCCCAGGCTGCTCTGCGCCTGGGGGGTGTATGTGCCGGCAGCACAGGCAGAGGCGGGGGTGTTCGTGTACTGCTGCCTTATGGGCTGGAGCGCAGGAGGAGCAGCGACGTAGCTCTGGTAACTGTGGTAGGACTCTGGTGTGTTATAGGCACTCTGCTGACTGTACTCTGGGCAGGCCGGTGGGCCCGTGGGAAGAGGGCCAGAGGGGTACTGTTGTAGTGGGGGAGCAGAGGTGATTACAGGATGCGTCTGTGCTGGGATGTGGTTGTTCTGGTAATAGTACTGAATGGATGGCGCACTGGAGGGTTGAGGTTTGCTGGGGTAGCCCTGAGGAGGGGTTGGGGGTGCTCCATAGTAGGTTGAAGGTGGGTACGTCGGAGGATAGCTCTGCGCCGGACCTGGGCACATCGTCAAAGACATGTTTTAACAAACGGTCATGGAAGATCACATGCAGAAGAAGGCATTGTAATTAATACTGTTTGACATGTTTGCTCGAATTAGGGGTGGGCGATATATATTGTAGACGATAATATCGCAAAAGTGAATTTGACGATATGCTTTTTTTTTTTTTTTTTTTCATATCTCCAATACATCTTTCACTTAGAGCAGGCAAGATGCCCATTCGTCAAATTCGTGCCTAAAGTCCAGTCACTGCTGTGTTTGTACTGAAAGCCTATGCGACAAACACTCATCTTTACGTCTGCACCTGAAGACCTCACCACGAGAATGGTGCGCGTTCACAACACAGACCGCGTGGTACCATAGACGCTGCTTTGACATGCAAGGAGACAGCGAAACGGAGGAAAAGACTTTGTACATTGTCTGTGCGTTTTTATGACCCAAGAAGGAAGTTTCTGTAGCTTGTGATCTTTAGAAGAGTCTGGGAAAAAAGATTTACATTGTGTAGTTTGACATTATTTGCAAAAGAGAGTTCTGTGTTTGTCTGCAGCTAATTAAGCTAACTATGCTACATTAAGCAAATTATGCGATTATTATTTACTTCCCTGCACCTTTGTAATGTTAGTTTCCATTTGAGCTACCTCTGTTTGTGGTTTACATTACTTATTTACGTATTTATGTCAACTTTATATAGACCTTAAAGGGAACCTATGTTGGATTTTTATGTTATTAATTTATGACTTATTTTAGTTCCTACTAGCCCAGACACATACGCTCTTGATTTTTTAATGTGTTATTTTAATTATCAATACGGTTTTTCTTTGTCTATTTCCTTAGTATGGAAGCCCGTTTCCGCCATGTAAAAAAAAAAAAAAAAGCATACAGAAAGTTAAAATTTTGAGTTTAAAAATCAAAATTAAGACTTTACAAGTCAAAATTACTAGTAATTTATTAGTATGTGTTGTCTGGAACGGTCTCTGGACATCCTTCACCTGCAGATTATGTGAAGATATTGCCTACAGTGACCACTGCATCCATGAAGTAGCCAGAAATAATGTTGTTTGATTGATTCTGTAAAACTTTCCTGTTTAAGCCCCAGACCGCGGTTGTAGGACGCAGGGAGGAGATGTCTTTTTATTTATTTATGTTAAATTCAATTTACATATATACAACATTTAACTCCAACCGACTTCTTATTTTGACATAGTAACAAATAATGTGAGCAATATGTTTTTATAATAAATCAAAGGAAAATGAGCCATCGAGACATTCCAATCCTATCTGCTATAGACCACTCTGATCAGACGATGACGCTGAGAGGGGTCCACACGGAGCGAGTATTTCCAAGGCTGAAAGGATGCGCTTTCTACGTGTTGAGTATGGAGTTTTATTCATGCATCTATAATGGGTTTAACTCCCTTTTCAAAGACCCTCACTGTTATCTGCGGAGTTATTTCTCCGGATTGTTGCTAAAAGAGTCTTTTGTCACAATAAAATAATCAGACAAAGCACTTGTTCCCTATATATCTCTGTGTTCTTGCTCATACGCCAACAACTTTACCCGCACGCTCGCTCCATCAGCTCACCCCAGAGCGCGCTCACGTTTCGGCCGCGTGCACGCAAACACGTCACATACTCTTCAATGCACTGATCGCAATTCCAAAAGGTTTAATATTGTCAGTGCCCATGACTGTGGTTCTCCTGCCTCTGTCTGCGGACCTACCTCACTGTCCAGTCATTGCGAATGGTCTCTCTGTCAGTCACAATATCATTCACTGCATTTCTGGTGCATCCATCGATAGCCGTGATACTGACCAGATGTCACCAGTTGATGCTCAATGACTTTGACCAGCCGCATGTGTTTTATTAATCTTCCACAGTCCGTTTAGGATAAACTAAATAGAGGCTTCTGAAGCGGATTATAATCACAAACGAAGAGACCGTATGCATTTTAACGCGATTATACCACAACATTATTGCTGGCTACTTCATGGATGTGGTCACTGTCTGTAGGCAAAATCTTCACATAATCTGCAGGTAGAGGATGACCCATGGTCATGGATCTATAATAGGGATGACCAGAGACCGTTCCAGACAACAATACATACGTATTGCGCATGTGCAGTTGAAAACTCGTAATTTTGACTTTGAAAGTCGAAATTTTGAGTTTTAAAGTCGAAATTTAGACTTTCTGTAGGCTTTTTTTTTTTTTTTACATGGCGGAAACGGGCTTCCATACCTTAGCCACACACAATTGCACACTCAACAACAATACAATGTACAAACTGATCACCTGCTAAACCTGCCATAAATCTGATTATAGATTATCTGACCGGAGTCTGTCGATAGTGTCTCCAACCATAAAAGAACCTCTCTATTCTTCAGTGTTCTTTCTGTGTAACTTGAATTTAGTTTTAAATGTTAATGTATGTTTGTGCACGTTTAGCAAAGATGTGTGTAGCACTTTACAAATAATAAGCTGCTATTTTGATCTACACTGTCTCCATCTATAGATGCCCTGGTAAGAAAAATATTGCAGATCATCCATCCATCCATCCATTTTCTACCATTTAATCAATTTCTGGGTCAGGGGGGTGGCAATCAGAGATGCCACCCAAGTCTCATAGCACCAGCCCCTCACTGACCCTCTGCAGGTGGTGAGTCCACAGGAGAACGGCTGCTCTCTGAGTGTGAGCATAGCCTTGATCTTTCAGTGGGGGCTTTGGGCAAAGTGGGGTTAAGTGTCTTGCCCAAGGACACAACGACAGCAGTCATCAGTGGGAGTCGGTGGAGAAGGTGTCGAGGTGGAAAATGAACCCACGACCTTCAGGCCTGAAGGCCAATGCTCTACCAACTGAACTACTGTCGCCCCCATTATTGCAGATCAGTTTGTGTAAAAATGACTGATTTTAAAGATATCGTGACAATATCGTTATCGTGAGTTGGGGAAAGAATATCGAGATATTTATTTTTTCCCATACATAGTTTTTATTTTTTATGTTGATACCCGAAAAAACACTTTTATCATAGGCATCTTCTCAGTCATTAAATCTGGGGTACCCAATACAGAACTTTAAAAGGTCCCATATTAATTTTAGTAGATTTTTTCTTTGATTTCCTCAAGCTTTAGTTAGAGAGCAATCTTTCTTTCATTGTCAAGAGAAACGAGTCGTGTCAAATCATTACGTGCACCCATTTGTGATGTCAAAAGCCTGCCTCAAAGAGGTGATTGACAGCGGAGAGAAACTGAACCAGCGAATCAGCACAGTCTATGATCAGCGCATGCACCCTCTCTCCGTGTACAGTAAATTTGCATCTGTGTTTGTGTTAGCATAATGTCAACTTGGAGAAAATGTGTTTTTATGTGTAAATATGTGACAGTAGTTGGCTTGAAGACAGAGAATGAGGAAAATGGGGATCGACTTTGTTCACAAGGATTTGCTATTGAATGTAATGGTACATTTGGCTTCTGTCACCAGGCAGTACCAGGTGGCTGAGTAGTTAGTACTCCGGCTTCTCAAAAAGAAGGTCCTGGATTTGATTCCACCTCTAGAGGAGCCATTCTGAATTTGAGTTTGCATATTCTCTCCATGTCTGTGTAGGTTTCCTCCAGGTCCTCTAGGTGCAGCACTAAAAACATGTACAAAAGGACCCGAAAAACTGAAAAAGAGAGGACCACTCTCACTCAGCTCTTAGTTCAAATAATTGAAAATGGACTCAGAGCACTGCAAAAGATAATGTTTTTAATTAGATGTAGACAGCATGTCATGGTCTGATTTGTTTACATTTTATTTGTCTTACAAAGTAAATCGAAAAAGTGGGTAGCTTTAATTAAGACTTTTTTTAACCTCAAACTAATTGACACAAATACTGTTACAGTATCCAACTATCTAATTCTGACATTGAATTATGTCTTATATATATATATGTATTATATTATATGTATTATGATCTTAACAAAAATACTACATTATAGAAATGTATTCTTATTGGGCCTTATCTGAATATTTTGTTTAAAATGATTGAGAGAATATATGCATGCATGTATGCGTTCAATTTATTTTCAACATGTTTGGCAGTTTTAAATGCAGTGTACATCGTACCGCTTACAACTGTGTAATTCCTTTTTAATGTTGAATTTTAAAAAAGCATTAGAAAGCAGCATTGGCATCTTGCGCGAGAGAGCATTACCAGCTCTCTACAAGGCGGTAGAAAAGGACAGTCCCGTAGTATCAGCCCACACCAGTGGTGATCACAAGGTGGGTGTGTGGAGGAAATACCGCCTGAAGGATTACACCGAGCCCTGAACCACTGGGGCTAGCACCATAGACTGTAAATAGCTAGCACTCATATGAAGCTAGCATGTAGCTTAGGAGCACAACTAATCCTACCAGCTCAACACTTGACGGGTTATCCAAGATTTACGCACAAATAACAACGAACACGAAATGCTCAAAATACAATACAAAAGTTTTTCATGATGTTGATTTGATTGAATGGATCACAGAATATGAAACAATTCAGTATTGATGGATAACACATCCATTCGCCCACATTGATGTTCTAAGCTGTAGATGATGCCTCATAAGCAGCTCACGCCATGCAATTCCAGTGGACCCAATCCTTCTGATAGGGGGACATTCACCAGGGCTGTCTTACCGTTCAGCGTGGAGCCATGGCTGTTGTACCCCGGTAAGGACATCTCCGTGGCGGTGTGCCGTCGCCCGGTTTCACCTCCTTTCTCACGGCCGCAGAGACACGGCGCGGTTGGCAGGCATGGATGCACCCGGTCCTGGAGCTGCAGTGTCCCGGGACAGTGAGAGGTGAGCGGCTGTCCTGTGTGGGACTGACCGGGAGATAGAGCTCAGGCCGTGGCTGGAGATGTTCTGGTGACGCTTTGGAGGTGCTGCTGTAGCTGCTGTTGGCGCCTGCTGCTGGCCAGGCTGGAGAAGACAAGCATGATGTGTGAATTATTTTATCAAACTTCTCAATAAGTTTGAATGAATGTGTATTTTAGAGTGCACTTTCGATAGTGTGCTATTTGCATATCTCTTTTCCTTAAAGGTTATGTCGGTATCCTGCAAGGTGGCACAGCGGTTAGTGCTTATGCTTCACAACAATAAGGTCTTGGGTACTCCAGTTTTCCCTACTGTGGAGATGATTAAATTAAAGTAGTACTAGAATTTAAGTTGCTGCTATCCAGAATATATAACTACTATGTGTTTGTAATATTTCGGGTGTTCATTTTGACATGTTCAGATTAATTATGTTTTAAAAAACGGCTTCGAAGTTTCACTTTTTCACTTCCTCATAGAAACGCTAGGGGGGGCCAAAATGGCGGCGATGACGTAGGAGAAGGGCATCTCACAGCCGTCATGACTGGAATCTGTAGGAAACTCCAGTTACCTAATGTAACTAAGGTTCTATGAATATGTTGCGAAGCCCTTTAGGCTTCGCTAATGCATATCTCTCGGAAGCATCGCTTCCCGCCCTGAGAAGATCAAACGATCCACCCTCCAATCACCTTCACGTCCTGGCGTAGGCCAGTCCCCTATAAATACGGCCATGCACCACAGCTCTTCTCCTTTCGAACTCAGCCGAATAAGAGAGGGCAGGCCTGCTGGGCTCGAAGCTAAAGGGCTTCGCAACATATTCATAGAACCTTAGTTACATTAGGTAACTGGGGTTTCTATTTCATATGTTGCTTCGCCCTTTAGGCTTCGCTAATGCATAACATAGCGAAGCCCAGACTGATGTACTCCCAGCAGGCATGAACTCCGGTGATTGGAGCAAACTCGTGACCCACGTGCTCATACCGCAACCAAGCGGTAGAGACGAAGGTCCTACGAGCCATAGAGAAAGGGATGGAGGGCCACCTCTCCCAAGAGTGCCCGCGCATTCCCCAACCTGCAAAGCAGGAAAGAATTCAGAACAAACCTGGGCAGGCAGCCTCTCCCAAGAGCGCCTGATCCCCAGGAGTGTAAAGCAGACTGCAGAAGGGCCTAGGCCGCCTCTCCCAAGAGCGCCTATCCTTACTGCAGAGGTGTCCAGGCCGCCTCTCCCAAGAGCGCCAACACCTCTCCACACAACACCCCCGCCCCCCCCCCCCCCCCCCCCTACAGACGAGTACTCATCGAGGTCTGTCGAAGGAGGAACTAGGGCCGCCCTGCACTCAAAACCGAATGAGCCACAGAGTCAGAGGCCACCTCTAGTAGGTAAAACTGCACAAAAGTCGAGGAGGAGGACCAAGACGCCGCTCTGCAGATCTCCTCCTCCGAAGTGCCATGGAACAAAGCCACCGAAGCGGCAACCCCGCGAGTGGAGTGAGCCCTCAACTGGGCTGGAGGCAGCAAGCCCTGAGCTTCATACGCCAAACGGATAGCAAGGCGAAGCCAGTGAGCCAAGCGCTGTGGAGACAAAGCAGCACCCTGACTCCTGGTGCCAAACCCCACAAACAACTGATCCGACCGTCTGAGGTCAGACGTGCGGTCCAAATAGCATCTCACAGCCCTGACCGGAGGAGGGAAAAACGGTCTCACCCAGACCACCCTAGATCTGAAAGACGACGTGACGACCTTGAGCTGGAAGGCCGGGATAGGGTACAACTCAATCATGCCCTCCTGATCGGGGAGGGACAAACAAGACGGCTGCACGGAAAAGATAAGATTTGCTTTATTTATCTCACATAGGAGAAATTTACATGTCACATTTGGCATGGATAGAGACACTCAGATTGTGCAAGAGGAGGAAATGTGCAAACATGTTACATGCAGGATATATGTACAATAAAGTGACAATAATTATGTGCAACAAAAGTGACAAGTGTCAATTGGAAACAGTGTCAATAGTAACACTGCAGCCGCACGTACTGTGGCCGGTTCCTTGGCGTGTGCTGTTTTTGGGACCGGGATCACACAGGAGGTCTTCCACAGGACAGGGACCTTCTCCAGGCTGAGGCTCAGGTTGTACATGTAGCTGAGGACCCCAGAGAGCTGGTCTGCACAGGTCCTCAGCAGCCTCAGCATCCCCAGACCTCTTGGCCGAAGCCCACTCCCACAACAATGCCGTTTTGTAGGACAATCAGGAAATGGTCGCATTGTCCAGGGGTTCAAATGGAGGCCCTGAAAGGCCAGCCAAGACCACCTGAAGGTCCCAAGACGGAGCCGACCGCCGGAAGGGAGGCCTGATCCTGCGGGCCCCTCGTAGGAACCGCGCAGAGTGGCTACCAAACCCCACGTGCCCAGTGGTAATGGCCGCCACAAGAACTGGAGAAAAGCCAAGACCTCCTGGATGGAACACTAGGTGGGGTCCAACATCTGTCCACGCACCAAGAGGCGAAGAGTTTCCAGCGAACCTCATACGCTTTGGTGGTGGATGTAGCCCTCCCACCCTGAATAGTAGCGACCACTAAGGGAGGGAGACCAAGGCTCAACATGAGCCTGCTTCCCAGGACAGGGCGTGAGTAAAAGGCTCACCCTGCCTGTCTCAGAGCATCAGGACGGTCCAGAACGGGCCAAGGCGGACTGAGCGCCATGCTCACCAGGTCCGGATAGCACCTGGCTCCCGGGCTGTCCGGCGCCACCACCAGGATGGAGACCCCCTCCCTCCTCACCCTGTAAAGCAGGGCTGCCAAGAGCCGGAGAGGCGGGAAGGCGTAGAGGAGACCGTTGGGCCATGACCGGTGCACCACAGTGGTGTTGTCCGTCCGAACAATCACCTGTTGGCCCTCCAGTCTGGTCATGAAATGGGCCAGCACCAACCGCATCGCCTCCAATTCCAGGAGGTTGATGTGCCCCAAGGGGGAGGACCAAACGCCTCCTGTCGAGTGGTGGCCGAGCACGCCTCCCCAACCACTCAGTGAGGCGTCCGTGAAGACGTCGATGTGGTGGTCCACAACACCCATTCGAACTCCCTCCTGGAGTCCACCTGGGGACAGCCAGAAGGCGACGTCGTTCTGAGCCCTCACCGACAGTCGCTCCCTCCGTGATAAGCCCCTGAGGTGTGAGAACCACCTCTGGAGATATCGCATGTGCAGCAACCCCAGTCTCACCACTGGATGGGCCGCTGCCATCATGCCCAAGAGTGACTGGATCTGCCGCGGTTGGACCCGAGGTTCACCCAGAACGATCCCTATTCCCTTGTCCCTATTGATCACAAACCCTAGGTGAGCACGTGATTTAACACTCTGGACATTTGATCCTGCGCATCCTCCCGGGAGGACAGGATCACCATTCGTTGATATACGTCAGTGTCCTGAGGCCCTGACGCCGAAGGGGTTCTAGCGCCGCCTCCCACACTTGGAGAAGGTGCGGGGGGGCTAGGGAGTAGCCGAGTGGGGGACCGGAGGAACTTCTTGTGCCCCCGTGCAATGGGTTTGTGGAAATTCGCGTCCTTGAGGTCCACGGAGGACCTCCAGTCCCCGGGCCTGACGCTCAGGAGTAGCTGTTTACTGTGAGCATGCGAAACAGTCGCTTGGCTATGCAGCCATTGAGGACGAGCAGGTCCAGCATGGCCCGCACCCCTCCGCACTTTTTTTTTTTTTTTTTTTTTTTTTTAGGGACTATGAAGTAAAACCCTGTCCCTGCCCTGAGCGGGTCTACCTCCACTACCGCCCGGCGCTGCAGAAGCGTGTTGACCTCCCTGTGAAGCGCCACGGCGTTCTGGAGAATGCCACAGAAAGGAGGGGGCCACCAGGAGAACTGGAGAGCATAGCCCCGATTCAGCACTCTGTGTATCCACAGAGTTCCCCGGAGCCCCGACTGTTCCGATACGGTGACAACATGGGTCAAGGGAAGCACAGCGGGATGGGAGGAGGGAGAAAGGCCTGTTCCGCCCACAGATGTCCCATCCTGGGGAGGCATAGGATAGTGGGGGGCCCGTGGGAAAAAGGCCTGAGCCCTAGCAACGGCCCTGGGCCTTTCTCTGGGTGGCCGCGTGAGAGCAGGTGTGCTGCACTTACGTGGAGCCGAGCCCCTGCTCCCCAATACTGTGGACTGAGAGGGGACCGAGCAGTCCCGCATATTGCAGTGGGGGGCCCCTTGAAAGAGGGCTGGGCCCTAGCTGCGGCCCTAGGCCTTTTCCCGGGTGGCCGCGTGACGGCGGTTGTTCTGAGCTTACGTGGAGCCGAGCCCCTGCTCGCCAACACTGTGGACTGAGAGGGTGCCGAGAAGTCCCACTTATTGCAGTGGGAGGCCCCTGGGAAGAGGGCTGGGCCCTAGCTGCGGCCCTAGGCCTTTTTCCGGGTGGCTGCGTGAGGGCGGGTGGCTGCGTGAGGGCAGGTGTGCTGCGCTTACGTGGAGCTGGGCCCCCGCTCCCCAACACTGTGGACTGAGAGGGGGCTGAGCAGTCACACTTATTACAGTGGGGGGCCCCTGGGAAGAGGGCTTGGCCCTAGCTGCGGCCCTGGGCCTTTTCCCGGGTGGCCGCGTGACGGCGGGTGTTCTGCGCTTACGTGGAGCCGAGCCCCTGCTCGCCAACACTGTGGACTGAGAGGGTGCCGAGAAATCCCACTTATTGCAGTGGGAGGCCCCTGGGAAGAGGGCTGGGCCCTAGCTGCGGCCCTAGGCCTTTTTCCGGGTGGCTGCGTGAGGGCGGGTGGCTGCGTGAGGGCAGGTGTGCTGCGCTTACGTGGAGCTGGGCCCCCGCTCCCCAACACTGTGGACTGAGAGGGGGCTGAGCAGTCGGGCCCCTGGGAAGAGGGCTTGGCCCTAGCTGCGGCCCTGGGCCTTTTCCAGGTGGCCACGTGAGGGCAGGTGTGCTGCGCTTACGTAAGGCCGAGCCCCCGCTCCACAACACTGTGGACTGAGAGGGGGCCGAGCAGTCCCACTTTTTGCAGTGGGGGGGTCCCTGGGAAGAGGGCTGGGCCCTAGCTGCGGCCCAGGGCCTTTCTCCGGGTGGCCGCGTGGAGCCGAGCCCCCGCTCCCCAACACTGTGGACTGATAGGGGGCCGAGCAGTCCCACTTTTTGCAGTGGGGGGCCCCTGGGAAGAGGGCTGGGCCCTAGCTGCGGCCCTGGGCCCTTTTTCTGGGTGGCCACATGAGGGCAGGTGTGCTGCGCTTACGTGGAGCCGAGCCCCCGCTCCCCAACACTGAGGACTGAGGAGGGGGGGGGAGAGCAGTACCACTCATTGCTCTGGATAGTGGGAGGCCGCTGGAAAAAGGTCTGAGCCCTAGCTGCGGCCCTGGCTTTTACCGGGTAGAAGCGTGAGGGCAGGACAGCTGTGAGCTGGCGCTCGTGGCGCACAGAGAGCGTGGGAGGGTAGCGTGCAGCCGCGCACTCTCTGCCCAAGAGAGGCAAAGGCACGGGGAGCGCACAGCAGTCCCGGAGCATGCCTCCAGCGCGCGCACGAGAGGCGCGCTGAGAGAGGCTCCAGGCACTTGGCAGATGAGCAGTGTTGGCCAAGCGCTGAGGATAAGGAAAAGGGGAAAGAAGTGTTCTCTTTGAGGGAGTAACGGGCCTGATGATGGCCTTTATTAAAGCGTTTCCCTCCCCTCCTTGCAGCTGCAAAGCCGGGGTGGCTGCTGCTCCTCTACTTGTCACACGCTTGCTGTCTCCTCTTGGTTCTGAGCGGTGCGGGGTGGCAGAGCGGTCCCTGTCCGAGGGATGCAGCGAGGAGAGTAATGTTATAAGCCATAGCAACAACCTATGATGCACCAGCATAACACCTGTCAAGCATGGACACGGCCGGCTTGCCCCGCTCGGGGGGAGGGGGTGCCAGCCCAGACCCCGGAGGAAGCTGGTGTACAGGCGTACTCCATCCTCTATGAGAGGAAAACCTGACCGACAAGGCCAGGCCTCCTCACCCGCGCCGGGGAATGGGCTGTCATGGGCCTATCCCCTCGCGGCTGATATAGTGAAGCAGAGGCACACCCTGAGCGAGCCACCATGGGCACCACTCCAGGGATGAAGCGAGCAAAGTGATGTGTTAAGCTAGGGCAGGGGTGCTCACACTTTTTCAGCATGCGAGCTACTTATAAAAGGATCAAGTCAAAATGATCTACCTACTACAAAAATGCAGATCATATATTTCAAAAAATATTCTTTATACCTACAATGTATGTTTATGTACATGCAAAACCGCACGAGCCAATATAGCACAACACAACACAATTACCTATGTACATTTTTTGTCATTACCCGAGTTTACTCTTATGACTTGCACTGAATTGAATCGGCCAGGGATGCATAGTCCGGAAAATTGGCGGTAACTCGCTGACAAGTTTGTCGTGGTTTAGCTTTCCTGAACTGAGCGCGGTTGTTTGCGCATGTGCAGTCACCTAAGTGTCAGTAAAACATTACTGAGTAAAACACAGATGTCATTTGACTGTGGTGCCATGTCCATGTGCCAAGCCTGTTTTTTTTAAATCCAAATATTTCCCCTCCTCAGTTTATAAAATAATTTGCATCCACACATCTGCGTTATCAATCACATTCGTAACATTCCAAACATGTGCGTCTCTTACGTCCTGTCCTGCGTTGGGGAAAAACACAGAAGTGGGCGGAGTTCTGATGCAGACGCCGGTAACGGCACTTTTACAGTCATAGAAGACACTCAGAGTAAAGACGTATGTTTACAAGCACTGACCCCGTCCTCAGCCCTGGTTTAGTCCTGGTTTAGTCCTGGTTTGGTTGTTTTCGAGCGTGAGTCCCCGCGATCAATTTGCTGCTCTCTGGTGTGGAGCGAGGATGTTCGCTGCTGCGAGCATCTCACAGCGAACAGTTTTTAAGGTAGTATGATCCATGCTTCAGTGATCAGTAGTGATGTGCTGAGCGGACCGAGTCTTCGAAGCGTGGACCGAGTAATCTGGGGGCGTTTCTTGTGAAGTGTGGGTCGAGGCGTGTATTGGTCACGTGTGTGGTGACGTTCGAAGCCTCGCGTAGCGGCCGCACCACGTGACGGTTCATATAGTGCTTCATATAGTTCGGAGATGTATGGCTGTCCCCGTCTGCCTCTGTGTGCGTACGTGTGTGTGCGTACGTGTGTGTGCGTGATGTGGAGCAGTCCTGTACTAAGTATAGAGAAACTACTTCATATGAAATACAATTAAAAACGTTTCACTTTAGTAAAACCTCATATATCAAGGCTTCAAGTTATTAGTAATAATACGCTGGATAATACATTTCACAACAGCTGTGTGGCGCAGTCGGTATATGACGGACTCCGAAGCAGAAGATATAGCGTTCGAATTCCGGTCTACCCATAATAAATTTTGTGTTGCAAAGTAAATGTATTTATTTATTGGGAATAAATGGTTTGTTGTGTTTAATTAATCCACCTCTTGGTAGTTTTTCCTCCATTAATCACTTTCTGTAGAACTGTATTACTTTGGATGTGTTTGTTGTATCAACACAATTGACTGAAAGATTCAAATAGTTCATAGTTCATGAAGCATCATTTCAAACACAACACGTTAGACCAGCCATTCCCAAACTCAGTAACACCGAGGCCACCTTAAAAATCTGACGGGTCTGCGTGGCCCCCCAAAATAATAACCAAGAAGACAACATTAAGAATAGGCTCTTCTGGTCATTTTATTTTGGGGAAATAGCCTCTGCTACAAACATTGTAATACAAAAATGATTACAGTGGATTATTCAAGTCAAATAATGAACACATATTTTAATATTACAAACAAAACGTTATAAATGTAACATTATTTTTTTTTTAATGACCTCCCGCGGCCCCCCTGCAGTACCCTCGCGGCCCACCAGGGGGCCGCGGACCCCACTTTGGGAGACACTGCGTTAGACCATAGATTGTAAATATACATTTTAACATTAGATCTCACCATTCATTGTAAGCACTTAAGAGTGTTATGTATTTCTTTGTCCACATGATGGCGTAGTGGAGCATGATTCACCTTGAGCCTTCGACTCATGGGCCGAGTAATAGGCTGCTATCCCTCAAGGCTTCATGGGGCTTCATATTGCCATCACTAGTGATCAGAGGAATTTAGGGGGGTACTGTGGCGTGCGAGAACGCAAAACTCCGGTTATCTCTGTCTACACACAAATGCATTAACGGAGTTTTCAAAAATCTCCACTTTGCCCGGAGCTTTTTGTATATATTCGTTTATGATGTTTAATTTTTTATTTATTTAATGCGATCTACCAATACTACCTTTGCGATCGACTGGTAGATCGCGATCGACGTATTGAGCACCCCTGAGCTAGGGCAACCATCTGTGGTGTATTAGCTATACGTCTGTTCAGCGTGGATAGAGGGTAGCACACCATGAGCGATGCCACCAAGGGCACCACTCTATCCGGCATGAATAATCCACGGCGTCAGACAAGCCACACATCTGGGGCTTTCTCCCGCGGCACGACGCCAGCCCAGGCAGAAGACGCTGGACTCGTGGCGGTCAGTCTGGGAGAGTGCCGCTGGGCACAAGTCGCAGATCCGCAGCCTGACACCGGAGGGTGGCAAGTTCTCAGGCGCGGGGATCTTGCTTGAAGACATCCTAGCAAATGAATCGAAGCTTCTCTTAGGCAAGCTGAGAGAGAAAGGAGAAGAGCTGTGGTGCATGGCCCTATTTATAGGGGACTGGCCTACGCAGGACGTGAAGGTGATTGGAGGGTGGATCGTTTGATCTTCTCAGGGCGGGAAGCGATGCTTCCGAGAGATATGCATTAGCGAAGCCTAAAGGGCGAAGCAACATATGAAATAGAACAGCGAGTTAATTGATGTTGAATTTGGGGAAGACTCAGAGGTTTCACTGTCATCTGATCAAGGTATAAACATATTTTCATCAGTTTTGTACATAATAGTGTGCAACTCTTAACCTTTTAGCGTTATTTGTGAGATTCAAGCTAATAACTTGGCCTAATGGTCCCTAGTGTTAGGCAAGTTAGCTAACGTTCAAGATATCCTAAAACATGCTTACAAGGCTAATATTCGTTTTACATTATGCCAGTCTCACTTTCGTTACCTTAGATTTATTTACCACAATGTACATTGTAATATCCATAAACGCTAACACCTATTAACGGTTTAATAAAAAAAAAAAATCAATGATTGCATCACATGTAGTTATCATGTTAGCTCTTTTGTCTTTTTACAACTTCAGCAGCTTTTTGTTCATATAGTATGTTCATAAAAGTACAATATTTATTTTATTCAACTTATTTTGATTGTACAGCACGTTATTATAACTTATTGCAATCATTACTATGACATTTTTGTTTTGACTCTGTAGGAAGTGGCCACAGTCCTGTTTCTGATGACCGAAGTGATCCTGAATTTGGATCTGATTCTGAACATTTTCAACAGCTTGATCCTTAATGATTTACTCATTTGAGCCAGCAACACCACAGCCCCTTGAACCGCCGTCAAGCCAGCCTCGTCTTAATAGCGCATCCGCCCTTCCAAAGTGCGGGTGCGCTCGTTTTGCACACCGTGACCTCCAGGCACGTAGCGCAAGAAATAGGCCTACAGAAAAATAATTCCACGGTGGTCCTTGTAATAGTCCAGCGCCACTACAAAAAGAGAAGGGAAAGGCAAATGAAATACAGAGAATAAGGAAACTGCCGTACATGTTCACAGAGTTTATGGGCATGTCTAATCCACCTCGGGTGTCTAGTCAGTCATATGAAGTCATATAGCGTCATTCAGCCTTTTAAAAGCACCCAATAACCCCCAGCCTTGATATACTTTGCGGTAGAACATCTAATGTACGACTTTTGTCATGTCGTCAGAAATGTCAGTTAAAATTCGCTCCAGCAGATGGCGCAAATTCACCCCTTTCACCAAAGCCAGCTGCCAAGTACGGTGACTTAAACTACCAATATAAGAATTATACATAAAATAAATAATAATAATATTATTATGATTATTATTATCATTATTATTATTATTATCAACAACAAAAACAATAATAATATCAATGTGAGGCACTGATTTTGAGCAACGTATTTTAAGGTACTTAATTTGTCATTCTTTATAACTTTCGAATATAAATTTCTACCTGTGTTTTGAACATTAACTTTAAATTGGCAAAGCATCATGGAGCAAGTCACATTTCAATACCCATGTCAATGTAGATCTGACATGCTCAGTTCAAAGGTAAAAAAACAACAAAAAGAATAAAAAGAAAGAGTTGTCACCCTCGGGGACCAAAATGGTTCCCATAGAATTTAGAAAAACTAGTCCACAGTAGAATAGTTCTCAGAACCCTTCTGTATTTACAGCTATTAGCTGTTATAATGGAAATCCCTGTGTAACAAGGCCTTTATTGTGAAAAGCTTAATCACGTGGGGTTAAAACTAATATGGATCACATGTACAGGTCCAGGACACCTGGTCCACACTGGAATCGTTTTCAGAAACCTTCTGTATTTACCGCAATTAGCTGTCATAATGGAAATCCCTGTGTAACAAGGCCTTTATTGTGAAACGCTTAATCACGTGGGGTTAAAACTAATATGGAGCACATGTGCAGGTCCTGGACACCTGGTCCACACTGGAATGGTTCTCAGAAACCTTCTATATTTACTGCAATTAGCTGTTATAATGGCCATTTCTGTGTAACAAGGCCTTTATTGTGAAACGCTTAATCACGTGGGGTTAAAAGTAATGTGGATCACATGTACAGGTCCTGGACACCTGGTCCACACTGGAATCGTTCTCAGAAAACTTCTGTATTTACCGCAATTAGCTGTTATAATTGTTATGTTCCTCCAGGTTCCCCTCTGGGACCAGGACTCCCCTGAAAAATATTCTTAATCTCAGTGGGACTTTCCTGGTTAAATAAAGGTCAACTACAATAAAAATAAATAAAAAGTTTCACAAACTTATTTGTGGGAATAACATTAAACTAAGAAACAACACGGGCTTCCAAATAACACAGCTGCACTGTACACCATGTCCTCCAGTTCATGTACAGTGCTAGCTGTGGTAAAGAGGCCAAATATGTGCATTTCCAAGGCATAACACTGTGGGGCACTGTAAGCAAATGCACTAAATTAATACTGTAGCCTAAGCCTATGGTATGACATTTTCCTTTATGCACAAATATGACAAGCTATATATGACAATGTCATGCTCAGCCTGCAAGATCATCAGTGCTCATCATGCTTTGTTACATGGATGCATAGTTTGTATTTTGTCACAATCCACTGCTTTTTCTATAAAATAATTGGACACCAGTACTCACTGTTTTTTGCACATCTCCTTTGCATTTTTCATGATGTGCGACAGGCACCTGTGGAGGACTGGCACCTGCCAGTCTGTTTTGACAGCTTTCCCTGTAGCAATTCGGAAATACACTGGCAATATGTCTGTGAGCCCCCTGTTGGCAAAGGCGAAGGAGATGGACTGCATCAAAACCTGTGAGCCGTCACACATGACCATTAAAGCTGCACTAACTGACTTTATTTTCGTATTAATTACGAAAATGCTATCCATGTCTATGTAGTGCATTGGGATATACGTCCTTTTGAAGAAAAAGTAGCGCAGATTTGTGCTGGCCTGACATTATATTTTCGATCGAGTTTTGATGAAACAAGGAAGAGAATGTGTTTCGGGTCGCAGATTGTGACCAATCACAGCGCACCACTAGCCCCCACTTTCGTGAGAAATCTCCAGGTCCGTTAGCACAGACAGCTGAGTTAGCACAACAAGCGGCGGAGCTAACCTGAAACTTTCTCGTCTTCGTCACCGGGTACTGCTTACACAGCGAAACAGCCATCCAAAAGAAAGTCTCGTTCCTCCGCGCTTCCCGGTTCTATCGTTCTATGGTCACGCCATCCACGTGAAAATCCATATCCATGTATTATCCATATTGGGAGAGGCTAGCTCCATCTCAACACTGTGTGTGTGTGGGGGGAGATAGCTTCGTGGGTGCGGGGAGGGGAGCAGAAAGAGAGAGGCCAGCGAGTCCGCGGCTTCAAAATCCCAAAGTCAGTTAGTGCAGCTTTAAGGGCACCACCCTGTGACCATGGCTCCTCTTCACATCAGTGACGAATGACATCAGGAAATATGTCGCTGATGCAGTGGTATGGTCACATGTGATGTAAGTGGCCACAGGGAGAGGTGACCCACCCTTCTTTGGATGACAAACTACTAACTCGTAGATATAAAAGGGTGGGTTACTCTTTTGGCTCCTCAATAAGCTCCCAGTGGCATCCAAATACACTATGTCCTCCTTGCACCTTTCCTGGTATATTTGGATGCCACGGAGAGACCAGAGCATTACTCCTTTTGGCCTCAGAAGCACGTTTTTGAGCACACTGGTGTCATTTGTTGGCAGCTTGAGCATCCGCTCCAGACTCTGTATTTCATTATGATGGAGTCTCCTCCTCTTCCTCACATCATAGGAAACATTCTTCAGGACACTGAAAGGTGGAGCCAGGTCCCTGCAGCCAGAGTCAAAAACGGCTTCTGAGAGTGCCCCTACATCTCTCACATGCATGGCTCTGGGTTTCTCAGTCTGCAGACGCTCCCCCAGCGTGGTCCGCTCACTGGCCCGCACAGGTCGACTTTTACGGTCACCGGCATAATGTCGTGCTGGTCCATTATCCAGGACCAACTTCGCAGATAATGTGTTCAGGGATTCCAAAGTCACCTTTGCCTCAACCTTGCAGTCCTCAAATCTGCAGTAGGCGAGGCAGCTGAAAAGTGGCCCCTTCCGTGAGGAGTTTGGTTTTTTTAAGTGGTGTCTTTTGAATCCAAAGGAACAATTGAGAGTGAGGAGTTGTCGTCATAGCACAGAGCCCCTCCCCGTCTCCGCCATGTTGGTAGGATCCCAGCGGCAAACACTTGTTGTTGTTAACTCGGTAGCAAAGGAGGTCGTCGCTATTTCTCTTTTACCATGCCTGGAGCTCATTGCTGTGTTAAAAACTGCTCCAGTACCTCACACAATAAGAAAGGAAAACGTAGGAAAAAAAAAATGGTCAAAACATGTCACTTTTGATCTACTGTAACTTTTTGCTGTAAAAAGGTGTGCGACTAATTTCACTGGATTCCTGACCTCATGATTGCCCTCTACCACTGTACCAAAGACAAGAAACATTTACTGTAGAAATATTGAGAAATATTGATTTAAAATAGCCATTTTGGTCCAAAATACCTCCAAAATAGTCAAAACATGTCACATTTGATCTACTGTAACTTTTTACTGTAAAAAGGTGTGCGACTAATTTCACTGGATTCATGACCTCATGATTGCCCTCTACCACTGTACCAAAGACCAGAAACTTTTACTGTAGAAATATTGAGAAATATTGATTTAAAGTAGCCATTTTGGTCCAAAATAGCCTAAAAATGGTCAAAACATGTCACTTTTGATCTACTGTAACTTCCATCCATCCATCCATCCATCCATTTTCTACCCTTTAATCCATTTCTGGGTCAGGGGGGTGACAGTCAGAGATGCCACCCAAGTCTCATAGCACCAGCCCCTCACTGACCCTCTGCAGGTGGTGAGTCCACAGGAGGACAGCTGCTCTCTGACTGTGAGCATAGCCTTGATCTTTCAGTGGGGGCTTTTGGGCAAAGTGGGGTTAAGTGTCTTGCCCAAGGACACAACGACAGCAGTCATCAGTGGGAGTCGGTGGAGAAGGTGCAGAGGTGGGAATTGACCTTCTGGCCTTAAGGCCAATGCTCTACCAACTGAGCTACTGTCGCCCCTTCCACTGTAACTTATTACTTTAAAAAGGTGTGCGACTAAATTCACTGGATTCATGACCTCATATTGCCCTCTACCACTGTACCAAAGACCAGAAACTTTTACTGTAGAAATATTGAGAAATATTGATTTAAAGTAGCCATTTTGGTCCAAAATACCTCCAAAATAGTCAAAACATGTCACTTTTGATCTACTGTAACGTTTTACTGTAAAAAGGTGTGCGACTAATTTCACTGGATTCATGCCCTCATGATTGCCCTCTACCACTGTACCAAAGACCAGAAACATTTACTGTATAAATATTGAGAAATATTGATTTAAAGTAGCCATTTTGGTCCAAAATTGCCTAAAAATGGTCAAAACATGTCACTTTTGGTTTACTGTAACTTTTATTGTGGAAATTTTGAGAAATAATTAGTCAAAGTACCCCCCTTGGTAAAAAATACACAAAAGGGGCTACGGCCCCTTTTGTCGACAAGCGGAGGTTCGACAAGTCGACAAGCGGAGGCTCTGCTCCGAGCTCCTTCCGTGAGACTGAGCTCCTCAACCTATCTCTAAAGGTGCTTTCAGACCAATAGCTTCAAAACGCTTTTGACACGCAATATTTGACGCTGGGTCCGTTGTGAACGCCCCTTGGTGCTTGAAGCTCCTGACGCCGGGTGGGAGGAGCTTCTCTCGCTCCCGCCTGGAGCTCACACTGATTCCCGCGGAGGAGCGCCTGTCTTTCAGTCTGCTGTGTCTGAGCCAGCTTTAGCTTGTTCTTATACTAAATAAGTTACTTTAACTTCACAGCATATGTACATTGATTGTGTTACTTACTTTTTAAGAACGTTACTATTCATACAAATAATATTACAAATAACAATAATGACAATGAAAAAGCAGTAGCAGCTACATGACAGCCCTGCTGCTGCTGCTGCTCTTCGTCTCCAGATTGGTTGAAGCCCGGCGTCAAGCTCCAAAAGCTTTTCTCAACTTCGGCGTTAAGGGACTTTTTTACGACAAAAGAGACGCAAGCATTACGCGTGTCAAAAGCTTCAAGTGACGCGCATAATGCTCTCGTCTTTTGAAGCGCTTCAAGTGAAGCCGGGCCTCTCAGCGTCACCTGACGCGCTTCACTATTCATTTTCAGTGCAAAACTGACGCTTTTCAAGTCTAAGTTGAGTCCGGGGTGAAAACACCTTAAGGGAGTGCCCAACCAGTCTTTGCCACCGCTTGTATCTACAATCTCGTTCTTTCGGTCATTGTCCAAAGCTCATGACCAGAGGTGATGGAGGGAACAAGAATTGACTGGTAAATCGAAAGTGTCCGCATCACTGCACACGCTGCACCAATCCACCTGTCAATCTCACGCTCCATCCTTCCGTCACTCGTGAACAAGACCCCGAGATACTTGAACTCCTCCACGTGAGGAAGGACCTCTCCACTTTGGCGGCACGGTGGCTGAGTGGATAGCACTCTCGCTTCTCAGCAAGAAGGTCCTGGGTTCGTATCCCAGTCGGAACAGTGCCTTACTGAGTGGAGTTTGCATGTTCCCCGTGTCTGCATAGGTTTCCTCTGGGTGCTCCGGTTTCCCCTGGCACTAAAAACATGCTCAATAGGTATTAATGGATAATGAAGATTGGGGGCGGGTCCCGGCTCGAAAGTGGCCAAAATGATGCGCTGACATGCTTGCAATACCACCCTGGGCCGATGGGGGTGGACCCGGAATAAGAATTAGCCAATGCTAACGTATAGCATTGGCAGACCTCTCGAAAAGGATGGTCCAAAAGTTGGCTCTTGGCCCATAGCTCCGTTCCACATGTGTTTCAATGATGAGGGGGGTGAATTTTTTTGGACCACTCTACTTTACTCGCTGTGAATTTTTTAAGTCTCTCGTTCAAATGAATGGAGCTTGCGCCGGCTAACGCATGGGCAGATGTTTTTTTTTCCGCTATATAATTTTTTTATATATATATGTAAATGCGCTATATAAATAATCATTACTCATTGATCATTACTCGAGAGGGCAGGCACCTTTTTCCGGTCAGGCATCATGGCCTCGGATTTGGAGGTGCTGATTCTCATCCCAGCAGCTTCACACTTGTCTGCAACCGTCACAGTGCATGTTGCAGGTCCTGGTTCCTTGGAGCCAACAGGACAACATCGTCGGCAAACAGCAGAGATGAAATCCTGTGGTCTCCGAACCGGACCCTATCCGGCCCCTGGCTGCACCTACAAATTCTGTCCATTATGACAGAAAACAGAAGCGGTGAAAAAGGGCAGCCTGCACCTGCCGGCAATGCAAATACAGCTCTGGTAGAGGACAATAATGAAGTCATGAATCCAGTGAAATTAGTCGCACACCTTTTTACAGTAAAAAGTTACAGTAGATCAAATGTGACATGTTTCGACTATTTTGGAGGTATTTTGGACCAAAATGGCTATTTTAAATCAATATTTCTCAATATTTCTACAGTAAAAGTTTCTGGTCTTTGGTACAGTGGTAGAGGGCAATCATGAGGTCATGAATCCAGTGAAATTAGTCGCACACCTTTTTACAGTAAAAAGTTACAGTAGATCAAAAGTGACATGTTTTGACCATTTTCAGGCTATTTTGGACCCAAATGGCTACTTTAAATAAATATTTCTCAATATTTCTACAGTAAAAGTTTCTGGTCTTTGGTACAGTGGTAGAGGGCAATCATGACGTCATGAATCCAGTGAAATTAGTCGCACACCTTTTTACAGTAAAAAGTTACAGTAGATCAAAAGTGACATGTTTTGACCATTTTTAGGCTATTTTGGACCAAAATGGCTACTTTAAATCAATATTTCTCAATATTTCTACAGTAAAAGTTTCTGGTCTTTGATACAGTGGTAGAGGGCAATCATGAGGTCATGAATCCAGTGAAATTAGTTGCACACCTTTTTACAGTAAAAAGTTACAGTAGATAAAAGTGACATGTTTTGACCATTTTTAGTCTATTTTGGACCAAAATGGCTACTTTAAATCAATATTTCTCAATATTTCTACAGTAAAAGTTTCTGGTCTTTGGTACAGTGGTAGAGGGCAATCATGAGGTCATGAATCCAGTGAAATTAGTCGCACACCTTTTTACAGTAAAAAGTTACAGTAGATCAAAAGTGACATGTTTTGACCATTTTTAGGCTATTTTGGACCAAAATGGCTACTTTAAATCAATATTTCTCAATATTTCTACAGTAAAAGTTTCTGGTCTTTGGTACAGTGGTAGAGGGCAATCATGAGGTCATGAATCCAGTGAAATTAGTCGCACACCTTTTTACAGCAAAAAGTTACAGTAGATCAAAAGTGACATGTTTTGACCATTTTTAGGCTATTTTGGACCAAAATGGCTAGTTTAAATCAATATTTCTCAATATTTCTAGAGTAAAAGTTTCTGGTCTTTGGTACAGTGGTAGAGGGCAATCATGAGGTCATGAATCCAGTGAAATTAGTCGCACACCTTTTTACAGCAAAAAGTTACAGTAGATCAAAAGTGACATGTTTTGACTATTTTGGAGATATTTTGGACCAAAATGTCTATTTTAAATCAATATTTCTCAATATTTCTACAGTAAATGTTTCTTGTCTTTGGTATAGTGGTAGAGGTTAATCATGAGGACATAAATCCATTGGAAAGAGTCACACACCTTTTTACAGTAAATAGTTACAGTAGATCAAAAGCGGGAATGTTTTTACAGTTTTGTGTATTTTGCACTAAAGTGTACTTTGTCTCAATTTTACCCAACATTTCCACAGTAAAGGTGTGTGGTTGTAGGCACAGCGTTGAAGGCAGCTATATCGAGGTCATGAACCCAGTGGAATAAGCCACACAAGTCTTTACTGTAAAAATGGACAGCTGCTGAAAATTTGACGAAATTAAAT